AACCAATTTTTCATTAATTTGTAGTCCTTTCATAAGGGGCACTTTGGACAAATGAAAACACATTGTTATTTTTTGAAATTAGCTTCTGATTGTCCTAAATGCAAGAAATAACTATGAATTTTTTTTTTGTTTGTTTGCATTAGCATCTTACTTTAATTTGTATTTCTTAGTTCTTTTCATTTTTTTTCTTATTATTAGACACATAGAAGTATATTGATGTAATTATGTATGCTATAACTACGTCTACTTTGAAAAAGCTACCAAATCATAACATTGTACATTTAAAAGTATAATGCTTTATTATAGCTAAAAAGTGAACAAATAAAATGTTTTTTAAATTAGCATCGCACTTTAGTTTTTATTTCTTAATTATTTTCATTTTTTCTTATTTAAGCATTCTACTTTGAATGAATCTGGCATATTTAGTTTCATTTTTGGTAAATAGTATTACACTTTCAATTTTTGTTCATTATAAAAGAAATCTTCAAATAAAACTCAACAATTCTACCATTAGAAAAGAAAAACCTTTTTTCTATGCTCCTTCCTATCAAAATAAATCAAAATATGATACATAGTATAATAATTGAAGTTTGAATTACTTTGTTAATTGCCTTTGTGTATTTGGAAATGATTTCACCAGGATATAGTGCCATCCTATTAAGATCTTCTACACCCTGGACAAGCTACCCTGCAAAAGAAACTACAAGATTGGCTCCATTACCAATTTCCTCCTGTAGTGCTTTTCCTGCCAAAACCAATATTTTTGCTGCAAGATACTGGATCTCAAGCTCATTTACAATAGTTGCAGAATCACTTCTCACAACTAGGTTGTCCAAATTACTGATTATTTTGTTCTGACCTAAAACACAAAGAAAGAGGGTAAATAAGTAAACAAAAGTTATGTTAGTGTAGAAAAACATTGATATTGTAGGTTGGATATGTGGTAATAGCTTAGGCATCTTGACAATCATTTTAAATACACCAATAAAGCCTAAATACTTTCTCTCCTCAAACAGTTGTGTGCAAAATAGCTTTTATTTCTATTTTCCACAATAAGAGCTAATGTGAAAGTTAGTAAGATCATTTAACTTTCTGTTTTGATAAAAAAAATTATTAATAATCGCAAAGTGCAGAAAAACAAGACGGTATGTCAAAGACTTTTCTATAGACGTATAAAAGCTTTATATATTTATGAAATATTTTACTACGGGCGTGTTTGACAAAAGTAGCTGGAAGCGGGTAGCGGTTAGCTGGTAGCGGGAAGCTGTAGCTTTTATTTGTTATATGAATGTTTGGCAAAAGTAGCTGAAAGCTTTTGAAATATATAAAATTACATAAAAAGACAATTAATTAAAAATAAATAAATATATAAATACATTTTTAAGGGTAATTATGGAAATTGATTTCAAAAGCTCATGAACGTTTTGTTAAACACTACATGAAGTAGCTTTTAGAATCGGAGCGTTTTGTTAAAACTAAAAGTTAAACGCTCGTACTCCCAAACGAAGCTTTTTGTTTAAGGTAGAGCGTTTTATCAAAAGCTAAAAGCTAGAAGCTCCCAAACGCTTCCAAAGGCTCCGTGCCAAACACGCCCTACATCTTTTATCGGTACATCATAGCTCACAACATAGATCCGACAAAACCATTTATCTTATATAATATCAACATCCCAAATATTTGTTATGCAAATTTTCCAATTCTCCATTGGCATTTTCATTTTGCTAAATAATTGTTTACTCACCTACAGATAAAGAAATAAAATGAAGTGCAAAATTGATCATCATCAACAGTAACCTGGTACCCTTGAATGCAACATTCAAATAACCAATCTAAAGGGTTAAGAAACCCAATACATTAATACTCACCATGTCCCTTTTTAAAAAGAAATTCACAAGATTATTGCATAATACTTAAATTAAATTGCAATATACTTCGTGAATAGAAAGTGTAACCATGTTTAAATTTCAAACAATATTCCTAAATATTACTAAAAAATCAAAATCCTAACAAGAATAGGACAAGACAACATTAGGTAACTAAATCTCAATAAAAATAACTTTTTATGTAACGTATACACAACTTTGTTATATACTAAAAAATCACAATTTTTTATGTTCACCTTTAGGAATGTAACATTCTCACCTGAGTCTCTCTTCTTCGTATTGACAAGTTTTTCGACTTCAAACTTGTAAGTATCTCCACCTTTCTCTTTTGTTGTGTCACTATAAAGAAGAAGAAGAAGGAACATAATGACGTTGTTTGACTTATTGTCACCAACGACATCATCAGATGGAGAAATGAGGCTTTCTAGGATGAATCATGGCTTCGAGAATTTGATTTGTTAACCTTTGAGCGTTTTATGTCCGAATTATGCACAAATCAACAGATGGATTACCGACGATTCTTTTGACGGGAAGCTTAGATCTAGGGTTCATTATTCCTAACTGGTTGTTGACTCTTTTAGCGGAAAAATCCAGGCTTTGCCCCGAGCAATTTTTTGTGTTTTTTATGAAAAAATGTAAAGTTTTGACTGCAATGACCAAATTGTCAAAATGACTAAAAAATTAAAGGGGTTGGAGTTAGCAAGTTTTTAGGAAAGGGACCAAAGTTGTCAATTCCATAAAGTTTTGTGGCCAAACTTTGAATATTAAAAGGTTCCTAAAAAATATAAATTTTTTTATTCCAATTACCAAAAGTGTCAAAATAGCTAAAGAATTACGAGCAAAGTTGACAAAAAAAACATGGAACTATACGATTCCTAACTTTGAAAATAAAAAAAAAAAACCAAAAACAGAGGGACGGAATCTGCCAAAGCCACAAAGTATTGTGGCAAAATTGGAAGGTAAAAGAAAATAGACATAATTGCAACATCACCCATAATCAGGACCACTTCTGTCAAATTGTTAGGAACTTTACTGTTCCTAACTTTAGACATTTTTAATATATATATATAATATCTATATATATATATATATATATATATATATCTATATATATTACTTGTATTTACAAAATCTTATAAATGTTTTTTCATCAAAAGTTCGTGAGTGACAAACTCAATTTCAGGTAATCTTCACAACTAAATCATACGAATGGTATGTTTGAGTATTAGGTAAAATTAATTGACATGTTCAAGACGTTTTAATGATCATATATATATATATATATATATATATATATATATATATATATATATCTTATACTATATTATAAAATATATTAGTCATATTTAGAATTTTAAGAGGTATAAGGTACAAAGTTTTTTTGTACAAATCAGTTATACATAAATAATTCATTAATACTAGTCAAATGTTTGAATACTTGAATTAAGAAAAGTAACTAAGAAATTTAATTTTGATCAAAAACAAAATTTTAAAATATTAAATTCTTGTATATAAATTAATTTAAATTTCTTAAATTAAATACTAATATCAATTAATTTACATCAATAATATAAACAGACAATATAAACATAAAGTATAAACATAAATATTTTAATTAAAAGTGATAATTTTTATTACATAATAACTGATAATAAATCTAATAATTATTTTTCCGTAAGAAACTATTCGCCAAAAAACAATTTATTGTCGCCGCTTTGCGCGGGAACACATCTAGTGTGTGTGTGTGTATATATATATATATATGGGCTTAGGGAATATGTGGTTGTTATGTACCTAATACTAGGTATAGAACCATCAAAAGCTACATAGTTTTAACAAAAATGCAATCAAATCTCTCTACCATCTTTCTTTTATCCTTTATTAGACTAAATTATAGGCTTTGTACATATTTTTATGGAGTTTAAAATATTTAATTTTGCACCACAAACCATGTATACAAATTATTTTAAAAAAACTAATTATTTAAATAGGGAAAAACCTACTGTTTGTTTTTGTTACGCGCTTGGTTCCTGTCTTACCTAAAAAAACTATTATTTAAATAGGGAAAAATGGTGGGGGTAGGTAATGTAACGTGAGGGGATGGGGATGTGGGTGTGTTTATTTAAATAAATTAAAAAATCAATGACAAAATAGTTTTTTTAGGTAAGACAGAGACCAAGCGCGTAACAAAAACAAACTGTAGGGACCTTCCTAGTTAAAAAATAAGTTAGGGACCAAACACGCAATTTACCATAAAGCATAGGGACCATCAGTGTAATTTACTTTATATGTTCATTTAGGTTCATATATGTTCAATTTCATTTGTTTATCTTCGCTCGTTTATGTTCGTTTAGCATGTTCATGAACATAAACAATGTAATTTGTTAAATGAACGACCATGAACAAGAAAACTCATTCGTTTATCCTTTCATGCTCGTTCATTTGTTTAGCTAACTTAAACGAATGAACATAAACAAGGTCTTGTTTGTGTTCGTTCAGTTCGCTTACACCTAAGACTAGGGGGCTTGATGATACATACTGCTAAGGGCTAACAAGTAGCCTTATCTATAATTATAATAAATGTGTTTTCTAAAAAATAACACCAAACACCGCAACTAACTAGAGCTAATTAGAACAGTCGCTATGTCCATTAAGAGAGCATATGTCATGCATGATATCAAGCATGTGAGCTGCTCAACTCAATACACACTTAACATATTCTTTATGAAGAATGTCCTTTTACTATGACAAAATCCATACAAAAAGCAAGACTACCAAATTAGGAAAATATTCCTTCAGAACTGACATTAGTAGGAGGTAAGGCATACAACACCGATGGTGAAAAAAATACCCATTGGAACCGAACCGAACCGATTAGAAACCAAATATGTAATTTAGTTCGGTTATTGCTTCATTTATATCCATAAGTTTAGTTCTTAGTTTTTGGTTGCGGTTTGATCTTGTTCCAGACCCTGACAAGTAGGAGTGACCAAAATACTTATTAGAATTGACTGAACCAAGAACCGTAAACGACTGAGAACAAAATATGTAATTTGATTCGGTTCTTAAATCTAGTTCTCAGTTTTTCAGTTTTGTTTTGGTCTGGTCCTGTTCCGGAACTGAGCTCACCCCTAAACAATACGACTGCCTTTAAAGACAAAAATATAGAAAAGGAAGGAAAGCAATTCACTCACATCCAAAAATACACACAAAACCTTACTGACTCTAGTAGCTAACTTGACCGTCAAGTGTGCTTATGGACCTCATCCCAGAGTACAGATGATGGTGTATCCTTGTGTTGTGATCTCTATTGAAGTCTGAAGTTTGTTGTGGCTATCTAAACTTACAAAGCAAGGTTTCGTTAATTTTTAGAAGTTTGGTTTTTGTTATACCGAAGTCTAAAGAGCTTCGTAAGTTTCTCTTTTGGTATATGGAACAAGATGAGGTGTCACACACTAACTTACCATTTATTAGGTTGTCCGGTGTGGGCAACGCCCACCGGCGTTTTTAGGATGCCGATTCATCATCTTTTCTCCATAACATCTCCAAGGGGATATATGGTGTTATTTTTTGAAACGACGTTGAGGAGGAAGAAGAAAAACAGAAAAACAGAAAAACAAAGGAATGAAGAAAACAAAACGGGTGTTGCCCTTCGTTACCAGCACCATGGGAAGCAACGTAACACCAAAAAATCATTTTTGTCACTTGTCATTCTCTCATGCATTATGCTACATGTCATTTTGTGGTAATTCTAGATTAAATTATAGTCATATATGTCATTTTGTGGTTTTTTTCCATTTTGTTAAATTCCATATAATATTTAAGTGTAATAAATATATAATAAATGTATATCAAATTCATTAATGCAGTTTTCTTTATAATCTCTAAATTTATAAATTGAATCAAATTATTTTAATTGTTTATTTATTTAAATTTAAATGAGAAATGATCACTTCAAATTTTAGTAGTTAATATTTTTCTCTCTTTCCTTATTAAATTCCAATTTTCTAAATTTTGAGATCTTCATATTTATTTTTATATTTTTGAACAAACTCATGTAATACATAAGTCTCACAACTAGTGTGTGTGTATGTGTGTGTGTGTGTATATATATATATATATATATATATATATATATATATATATATGTCATATGTGAATAATTATCATTAATTTAGGAAATATGAAATGACATAAGTTTCAAATTAATATGGTTTAAGATAATTATTGATCTCTAACCACATGAGTTTCAATGGACTTCTTTATAGTATAGATATTGATTGATATTGATATTGATAGATATTATAAGTAGAGGTAAGTCGAAACCAAAACCAAATTTAGACTAAAACAATTTTCATATTTGGTTTTTGGTTTGGTTTCAAACCAAACTGAATTATGAATTTGGTTTATGGTTATGATCAAGTAGAGTTCGGACCAAACCAACCGAATTAATGAATTTAATTAATTAATTAATTATATTAGTTAAATATTATATTTCTCTGTTCTTTAAAAAATATATAGAGAAATTGATACATATTTTGATATTTTATGTTTTCACGGACACATCAACTTCACAATTATAAAATCCCAAAAGTTTATTCCATTAACCTATTCTTTCCATCGTCCTCTATGTTTCATTTGGATTTTTATATTTAATACTAGTTGGGAGACCCACGTATTAAATGGTTAATTTAAAAAAAATTAAATATAAAGGTCAAAATATTTAAGAATTTTGAATTTATAAGAAAATAAGAAAAATAATGAAATTTGTTATAATGTAAATTTTTTTTATCTTTTAAATTTAAATAAATAAAAAAATTAATGAGCTTTAATTTTTGGAATTTTGAAATTAAAAGGTAAGTTTATTAATGAAATTGATATTTATTTATTACTACATTTATTGTAATTATTACATTAAAATATTATGTGAAATTTAATAAAAAAAAAGAAAAATTTATAAAATGACATGTACAAAAAGAATTAATTCAAAATAACTATAAAATGACATTTGACAAATTGAATGAGAGTGTGAAAGTAGCAAAAAAAACCTTCATTTATTAGAAAGGATTTGAAATTTTAGATATTTATATTTGAAACTTGAGAATTTTATATTTGGAAAATTTAAAGTTTAACATTTATTTTTAACCTTAAAATTTGGAAACTGAAATATAATTAAGTTTTTGATTTAGCTTGTGTTTCCTTGAATTTGGTTTAGCTTTAGTTTATGGTTTGGAACCGAAAGAAAATCAAACCAAAGAAACCTAAAAAACCCAACTGCTTCCCACCTCCTAGCTCTACCCCTGTTAATTGTTCTAAACATTTTCTTTTTTTGAACATATAGGTATTTATAGTAAACGAAAAGTTGTATGTTATTATATCTTCTAATTTTAGCACTAATCCGCCTTTAATAAGGGTTTCATACTATGACTTAGGTTAAGGAATCGGTACTATCTTTCCATAAGAAGAATATTTGGCTTTTGAATATCCTCGAGAAGTCAATAAGTTTCTTTTCCGTTTTTTTTTAAACGGCTCATAACCATTTATAAGAGGGAGTTGATTCTTCCACTGACCATTTTGATAAATCCACTTAAATATATGACAACTATGCCCTCATTTAAATTTGTACTGTTTTTTATTTTGGTATCTAATTATTCGTCGACCAATTCCACCAAAAAACATTTAATGGATAGTTTATACTTTGTTACCCTCTTTTCATCTACTCTCCTTATTTAAACCACCATATTTTATTTTATTTTAACATTTCACCCCTCATTTTAGTAATTATTATTCTTTTTCTTTTTTGGTTATTTTTTATATCAACGGCCCTTTTTTAAAAAGATTATGATTCTTGTGAATATTGACGACTATGATTTTGTTTATTCTGAATATAAAAAAATATATATTAATTTTCTTGATTATGATTAGGGATGTTATTCGGTCGGTTTAATCAATTATCAATTTGTTCCATTTGGTTTGATTGATTTTTTGACTTCCAATATATTAACTGAACCGAACCAAATAAGGTTTGATTTAATCGTTTTCGGTTTTAAATGAGTCGACTTAATTGGTTCGGTATCCGTTAAATCCGAATAACAAACATTTGAACAACTAATCAAGTGAGAATATTTATTAATAATAACAAAAGAGTGGCTAAACTAAAAGCCCAAAATAACATACAATAGTTGAAATTAAAAATGTGTGTAGTTATATCATATAAGTAGTTTGGATATTTTTGATAGACAACATTTATTGTGATTTAATTTGATATGTATGAGTTTGAAGTTGTGTTTTTTTTTCTTGTTAAGTAGTTTATTGTATAATAGTTTTATCATAGTGTGTTTATAAGCTCTTAAAAAAATAAGTGCTGATGATTAAAAAAAAATCACTAAAGAAGAAAAATAAAATAAGAATTAAAATGAGGGGTGAAATGTCAAAAAGGAAAAATATGATGGTTTAAATAAGCACCAATGAGAAAAACAAGGGGTATAAACTAACTATGGAATGTCTTTTGGTACAACGGGTCTTAATGGGCTCAAGGATAATTAGGATCCATAAAACAAGAAAATACATTACAAATTTGAACAAGGGTATAGTTGTCAATACCGTTATAGTTTCAGTGAATTTATCAAAATCCTCATGTGGAAGAATCAGCGGCCTTTATAAGAAATGTAAAAAATCGCAAGACTTGACTTTATAGTTTAATTGAAAAAATAATACTCTGTGACCTAAAGAAAATGTATAGTGGGGACATTGGAGGATGAATATGACATGGTTTTCAGCATTTAGTGAGAAGGAAATTTGGCCTGAGTCAATTATAGCTTGGACTTTAGTTCTTGGAACCTCCTCATATCTTTAATAATTATATTAGATATTTAATTCATGTGTTAATTTTCATATAGGCTCTTGTGTGTTAATTACTAGTAATGAGCGCACCATGGATCTCTAGCTTTTTCTTTTCCTTCTTCTTCTTCTTCTCATTCAACAGACGGCAGTTTGCTATTGCCAGCTCTTCTCTACCTCCAAGTGAAGGGGCTCCAGTTTATGGCATTCCTACTACTGCAAATCGTTCAACCTCATGGACCAATGATGAATCTTCCCTCTCTTCCATCTCTTTTCCAGATGGCTCGATGTACAGGGCTATTCTCCGAGATGAAACAAACAGTTCCATTTGTGGCTTCTTTTGCATTCAAGGAGCCTCCTGCACATCTTACCTCTTTGCTATTCTTCTCAACCGACATGATCCGGTGGTCATTTGGTCAGCCAACCGAGACTACCCGGTTAGAAACGGAGCAATCCTGAATCTCACTGCAACCAATGAATTGATTTTATATGATGTGGATGGAAGCAAAGTTTGGACTACAAACACTACTGGGAAATCAATTGCTGGCGTGAAATTAAGTGATAACGGAAATCTTGTGTTGTTTGATGGTGATAACTCGATGATTTGGCAATCATTTGATCACCCTACAGACTGTTTAGTACAGGGGCAAAAACTATTTCAAGGACAGAAGCTCATACCTAGTGTTTCATCAACCAACTGGGCAGCTCAAAAAGATTCATACTCTCTTCAAGTCACCAACAAAGGTTTGTTTGCTTATGTTGAATCAAACCCACCTTTAGTCTACTATCGTCACTTGGTAAATGGGACAGATACAGATAAACAAACCAGGTATGTCGAGTTCTTTAATGGGAATTTGTCTTTCTTCAATTTTTCAACCGAGCCAAGTCGACCCGACAGTGTGATTCCTATACCTCAAAAATTCCCACTTCAGTATATGAAACTAATGCCAAATGGGCATTTAACAGTGTTTGAATACGATTCTTCAGTGGGGTCAGTAGGGTGGATGGCGGTGGCTGATCTACTAACCGGTGATCTAGGAGAGTGTTTTTATCCATTGGTTTGTGGGAGAAATGGCATTTGCTCGGGTAATCAAGAATGTAGTTGTCCAAGATCAAGCTTTCCGGGGATGGACTCTTTTAGGGCAGTTAATGATAGCGAACCCAACATGGGTTGCTCTCAAGTTACTCCTCTCACATGTAATGCTACTCAAAATCATACGTTTATTGAAATCAAGAACGTAAAGTACTTCACCTATACTGTCGACATAGAGAATGTGGATTTGGGGACTTGCACACAAGCGTGTCTGAACAACTGCTCATGCAAAGCAGCTCTATTTGAGTATGGTGATCCGAGTCATTCAAATGGGAATTGTTATTTACCTACTGAGCTTTTTACAATGACAAAGGTTAATGTAGAGAACGCTATTGTTTATATAAAAATCCAGAATGAAAGATCAAATACTTCGGCTAATCTGTCCCAGCCTCATGATTCAGTACCAAAAACAAAAAATCAAGTTAAGACAGTTGTGGGTTCCATAATTGGCAGTTTTGTGCTTCTTCTTATTGTGGTTATAGGTTTTACCAAGTTACGAGATAAAAAGAAAAAAATGAATACCCAAATGGAAGAAGAGTTTTTAGATCAAGTGCCAGGAATGCCCACTCGGTTTTCCTATGAAGAACTGAAAACTGCCACAGGGAAATTCAGTAAAAAGCTTGGTGAAGGAGGATTTGGATCAGTATTTGAAGGGACACTCAGAGATGGCTCCATGATTGTAGTAAAATGTCTTGAGAGTCTTGTGCACGTTAAGAAATCATTTTTGGCTGAGGTTGAGTCCATTGGCAGTATTCACCATGTGAATCTTGTTCGACTTAGAGAATTTTGTGCTTGGAGATCACAACGACTTCTAGTGTATGAATTCATGAGTAATGGATCATTAGACCAGTGGATTTACCATGGAGACCGAAAGCATGTACTCAAATGGGATAGTAGAAAAAAGATTATTCTTGACATTTCTAAAGGTTTAGCATATCTCCATGAAGAATGTAGGCAAAAAATAATCCACCTCGATATTAAACCTCAAAACATACTCCTCGATGTCGATTTCAATGCCAAAGTATCTGATTTTGGGTTGTCTAAGCTAATGGACAGAGATCAAAGCCAAGTGAGAACTAGAATGAGAGGGACCCCAGGCTATCTTGCTCCAGAATGGTTGGGCTCAGTTATCACCGAAAAGGTGGATGTATATAGCTTTGGGATTGTTCTTTTGGAGATCTTATGTGGAAGGAAGAACTTCGATAAATCACTGCCAGAAGAAAGTTGGCACTTACTGCGTGTTTTTGAGAGATGTTGGGAACATGGGACGTTGTTAAGCATAGTCGATAGGTACAGTGAAGATATGCAGATACATGGTACAGAAGTCGTGGAGACGATGAAAGTTGCTTCATGGTGTTTGCAGACTGATTTCAGGAAAAGACCTTCAATGTCAGTGGTGATTAAGGTGTTAACGGGAGTAATTAATGTTGAATCAAACTTGGATTACAAATTCTCATACACAAGCCAGCAGAAAACAACAGTTAAACATGGAGAAAGCTCGTTACCATTGTCGCCTTCTATTCTATCCGGGCCTAGGTGAGTTGCAATGGTTTTGTGTGGATAATTTCTATGTATCCTTTCTTTCTTCAATAACAATAAAATTGCTAGTTATGAACGCATTTGGTTCCCCAATGATAAAATGGATATCCATATCTCTTAAAATTATAGATCTAAAAGCAATATAACAAAATATTTTCAACTGTTATTGCAGAAAACTAGTTTTTAACTAAACTATACATATTTTCACAACACCAATAACAAAAAGCTTAAGAAGAACAACAATACATCACAAAACCAGAATTAACCCTAATAAACTAGCACAGCACAAGTTCTGAACTACAGTATAGCTGAGTTTGTGTGAGAATTCTTGATTTCTCGTTAATGAAATACAAATAAAAATAATAACTGCACGTTTTATTCTTCTGGGTAAACTATGGGTCGAATATGGATCAACCCATACGACAATAGGATCCGCGCATCAATCTTTACTATCCAACTATCCAAGTATCCATTATATGAGACACAGTCCAAAAATTCTCCACATTTGACCCAACACCTTAGCCCACGCTCTCCGATCAAATTATATTATATATTATTATTATATATATTAAAGTTGTGAAAAGTTTTAACAGTACATATCAATTTTGGTCCTCCAAGTTACAGCATTGACCCTTCATCTTTATGCTTTTGTTCACAAACAACCCTTTCACTTTGATTTGAATTTTTCATAACCCTCGCATTTTATTACATATTATTAGTATTTAGTTTTTTGGCAGAAATAGTCTCTCATCATCATTATTATTATTGTTAGACAAAATTACACGATTGGTCCACCCACCATCTGCCATCACCACCACCACCACCACCGCCAAAATTACATAAATGGTCCATATTACCCATGGTGACAAATTCAGTCCTTACTACCTGAAAAGACCAAATTACCCTCACATTAACGGACAAAAGCAACCAACATGCTACTTTACTTTACAAAGCAATATCTTCCGACCCCGGCAACACCGGAGAATTTTTTCTAGTTATATAATTAAAGCACAACATGCTTATCAACAGTACCCGAGTTGGGAACTGTTAAAACTCGGTTGACTCAGCTTCTATATTCCACCGGGTTAATCCATCCACCGACTCCACCGCCTTTTTACTTCACATATTCAATCTGTTTGATGATTTGCGTTTGCGACACCACCTCGCCACCGCTTTAATATGTTTTGTCCTTCGATTGGGGCGCTCTCCACCTTCTCCAACATGATATATGCAACCGGAAAGAGATTATCTATCGTCGTCGCCGTCTCGACTAACACCACGCGACCACCTTCACACCTGCTTCACCCCTATCGTACCCCACCGTCGACGGTTTTCTGCAAGGCGCATCGCTACCCAACAACTTTGTCGACGACGTTGCTAAGTCCGGTAACCTTGACCTTCTCAGCCATCGGTAACGTCGATCCTCTGAGCAATATTCTAAAATTAGTCAAAAGATTGAACCGCCTCTTTCAATCTCAATTTATGATTTCTATGGGATGAGAGGAGCAAGAAAGGGATAACGACAGATGGGTTTTCTCAATAAATTTGTATCCTGCTCTCTGATTTGACATTGCCTTCTCAGTTTGACAGACGTTTCATTTCAATTTGAGCAGTTGAATCGCGTTTATCACTGCTGGAACAAAGGAATCTTCACGAGAAAGAGGTTAGGCATAAGAAAAGGTTTGTATTTCAGCTGCTTCGTTCTACAAATCTTCTTCAACGTTTGTGTTTCCTTTCTTTTTTCATAAATTTCTAATTCTTGATTGTTTGTTGTGTTATTTGAAATAAGGTGGTTAATAGAATCCTCAAACCTCTCAAAACGAGTCTAAATTTCAACCTGAAAGGTAAGCCAAATAGATTTCACTTCTATTTATTGTTGTGAGTTTACTTTGAGGCAAATCGTAACTATGTTTGTAAAAGCTAGATTGGACTGCTTATTTGGATGAAAACTAAAATTGTTAAGTTACAGAGTGTTTGATTTTCATATATCATGGGCCTTTATATTAGATATATAGATAGAATAGAAAAATGTTCAGAAAACAATCCAGAAACGACAAGGGTTCTCAGTAGTTCTGTGTATTGCCTTTAAGGTGTTTGTCAAAATGCCTACTTTATTGTACTATTTTTTTTTTTAAGATTAAAGATACTTATAAACAACAAAAACCAACAGGGGTATTATACTATTTTACAATCTATGAATTAAAACTTTTGAATCTGTAATCGGATATATAGGTTATCAAATGCATAGACCAAATTAAAGATATTATGAAGTGTGTTCGTGGCTGCCATATAAAGGATTAAAACCACCTCTAAGTTTAAAAAAATTACCAAAAAACCCCTAATTTTTTTACCAAAGCGGGTCTTTTTGGTTCTTTTTAGTTCTTTTCCGGTTCTTTTGGTTCCAAATCAAATTACCCATAATTTTTGGTATTTTTTTTTTCCGATTCAGTAACCCATAATAGTAGAAGGTTGTAACAGAAACAAAGATTGTCAAAGTATTGTAGTTCGGTATATTTACATTATTATAACCCATAATATTAGTGTACTAATAAGTTTTTGTTGCTTTTTTAATTGAAAGGTAACTTTGTTATCACACATGAATTGGAATAAGAGCGGCTTTTAGTTGAAGGTCATTTTTTGATTTGCATAGGTAGGAAACTTTTTGGTTAAGGTTACATAACCGTATAGAGCATTACCCGATCTATTTCCTCTTTATCTTTTTTAATCTTGAAACGAATTAGAAAAATACTGAAGAGGGTTATTGCAGGTTTGGGCTAATGTTTAGAGCTTGATTTTCTCTTTTGATGAGCATCACTTAGAAACACAAGTCAATACCGCCATACAAGTTGAGGCAACTTCTCAGGAAATATTTGTTGCTGCAGAAGCTAAGCTTGCTGATTTCAAACAGATACTGGAAAGACAAAAAAGGGAAAAGTATAGACACTTGAATGTATTATGGTCCAAGCATGTGAAAAATGAAACCTATATTTTCGAGATTGAGGTTAGTTAATGGAGATTTATCTTTTAAACTTGTACAAGAAATAGTAAAGTGCCATGGTTTTTTTTTTGGCTTTTGCAGACTATTATTGCCCATGCATATGATGATATCTAAACAGAAAATTAACAACTTTTGTAGCAAATAATCGAGAGAGGTAACTATAACATTCAGGTAATTACTTTATTTTTCAATTGCTTATGAAGTTTAAAACTGTATTTTTATTTTTAAAGCATTTTGTACTTTAGAAAAGAAGTCATGTTAAATTTACTCATGATTTCGTATACTTTCAGCTACAATCATTACCGATCTCCAACTCTAAGCTTTCCAAATCCAAATAAAGGTAGACTTCGTTGTGGATGTATGTCAGTAGCCTATCCATGTTGTTTTTCTGTTAACATTTTGTTCGACAGGACTAAAGCATAGGAAAGCAAGAGGTGTAGGTGAAGAACATGATTCTATTTGGTTAGCCCATATATGACATGCTTCTTACTGAATGTCTAAAGTGCAAGCTTATCGCATCTTCCATTTTTCCTATAAACCACGCAAAAGTTATGTTGTTTAATATGTACGTTCTTTCACAGCCTCATTTCTAACACTTTTGTTGTTTAGGCTAAATTGACCATATAAAACAGAATTTTGACAAAATCAAAATGATAAAAGGAAAAACCTTAAATTCAGATTTCTCAATAGCAATTGTAGCAATTTCAAAATGTGGGTAATACTCCAATTCTAAAATGACACATGATCCGCCAACCTGTTAAATAACATAAGATAAACCACATGAACATCATTCTACAAAAACAGATGTTGCTATTTCGTATATTTTTTCCATTGATCTTTTTATGTGTTTTTAGGACATATCACATGTTATCAGAAAGAATAGAGAAAACTTCTTGCAAGTTGCGACGACCAGAGGAAATGGTGAGTGCAGAAAAGTTTATTCATAATGTTAAAATTAAGTGCATTATTTTTTTTCTGTTTCTTGATATTTCCACATTTCTATAACATGTTTTATTTGATTGTATAATATTTCATCTTTTTATTGCAGAAGTTTGGTGCAAACCCGAGTCTATTCATCTAAAAAATCAATCAAAATTTATTAGGTGATGCTAAAAGTCATCACAGATGACAGATGAATATAGAAACTCTCCGGTACACAATCGTGATCAATTCCATCTTTTCTTTGAATGTTATTCATGTTGTCAATGTCTTTTGGATATGTATTGTATCAACTTTCAATACAATATTTCTAAAAGGTCCCCTGTGACAAAAAAACAACAGCTAATAAACACCTATCTAACCCATGCAACGCATGGGATCCTACATTAGTATACATAAAAGCTTAAAATCCTTAACTACAGTGACTTTTTTACTCTTTCATAATTGGACACGGAAGTTTTCTTTTTCGTTATTTCGACACCGATGTTTTCGTTTTCCTTCTGCTGTACAAAGCTCATATCTTTTCTCATTCTTATCAACGCCGCAATCACGATTCTTCTTATCCGGTTTCATTGCTGCCTTGCCGCCCTCGTCGTCCAGTAGTATTTCTTTCCCTTTTGTTTATTTCTTCTTCCTTTCTTCTTTACTCTCTCTTCCTCTTCCGGTGAGTCGCTCAATCGCTAACTACCGTCTCCTTTGACGGCATGAGGTTTTGATTGCTTCCTTTGGCGTTTTCTGGTCTTCATCATTGACTTGTAGTTCTTTTGATGGGGTCCAATTTTGATTGTTCTTTACAAAGATTGAGGCGATGATGAGATTTGTTTGTGAAAAAAAATTGCACCGTCAAGCATGGGTGAACTTGAAGGCCGTATTTTGGCAAGGCAACTAGGAAGGCATATCCGATTGGAATATGCAACCACTGTTTGCAGCCATACCGTCTTTCATCCTCTTTTTCTGAGCCTCCTCTCATTGAAAATCACGGTCTTATTTTTTATTTACGCTTTCACCTAAACCTGAATTCAGTTTTTATGATTTTCGATTTTCAAATTTCTGGTGTTTCTTTGTTCGTCTTTGTCTGTACGTAGGGGAGGGTCACAGAAGAAATCGTTTTATGATCGACAATGTACCGTCGTCGACCTCGTCACAACTGAATAGCCGTTGGTCAACAACGTCGTCGACGGTGTTGTCAACTACGGAGGGCGTTGATCAAAGGGAGCATCTTCTCAACAGCGACTGAGGTGTATACCACCACCAGGGTTTTCGAGCAACCCAAGGAGTGTAGGCAAGTGGAATATGGAACAGAGTATGGATACGGGAAAATTTTAAGAAGAGGTCTTCTTACACTTGCTGATAAACTTATGGAGTCCATGAACGCTATGGGTGTGTGGAAAAACCGAGAAACATACGAGATTCTCCTTGGTTATTATGTTAGTGCCGGACGTTTAAAAGACACGTTGGAAGTTGTAGCAAAAATGAAGAAAGATGGGTTTGAACCGAATTCCTTTGTATACAGTATGATTATTGAACTTTATAGGAACAATGGAATGTGGAAGAAAACTATAAACCTCATAGCAGAAGTAAGGGAAAATGGAGTCTCACTTGACAAGAAGACAGCCAACGACTGTTGTGCAATTTCCCATGGCAACTTCCATATCCCGCATCAAGCCAATTGCTCTCATTGGTATTGCGGTAAGACTTCATATCCTAATCAATTGTTCCCGTTCTTTTCCTAAATTAGCGTAATGAAGATCACACTCAATTCATTTGGAAACAGTTATGGAGAATCTAGGTGGTTTTCGGTTGTTTATTTCGTCATTTGAAGTTTCTGTATGCGCATAGGCCAAAACACGCTATTCCCATTCGGGAATTAGGGTTTTGGTATGAAGATTATAGTTGTATGTTTGAGGATTTTTTGTCATCTGTTTTAGGGTGTACATATGAATTTTGGTCACATTAATAACTAATATGCATTTTCCCCTTAGCTGTTAGGAAAGTGCATTTTAGAAGTTTGGAATCATGGATCTACATTACAGCCATGTAAATGCCCTCTTTGTTGTCGCCACATTACTTTGTTGGTTCCTAGCAAGGAATCCTATCAGCAAGCTGATAATCCCGAAGCTTCTGAGATTATAAGAAAGATTGAATCTTATAACCGAATCTTTGGTTCACATTCAACAGGACTAAGCCAGGTAACTAATCATTATAATTTCCACCAAAAAGATAAGAAAGAAACTAATCATATTTCTTCAAGATCCATAGTCAAAGTCTTTTTTTTAATGGAATTCTTTGATCAGGTGGCATTGCAAACATGGTGATCTCACAAATGCCATTGTATTGTTCAACGAGATGCAAACACAAGGGCTGTATCCTGATCCAAGTATCTTCATTACCATCATTACTCGCTTAGGAGAACAGGGGAAGTGGGATATAATAAAGAAAAACTTTGAGCAAATGAAAGGTGGAGGTCATGGACAAAGCGGGACCATTTATGCTGTTTTGGTTGATATTTATGGGCAATATGGAAGCTTTGAGGATGGAGAGGATTGCATAAATACACTAAAGCTCGAAGAAGTTCCTCTCTCAGCTAGAATATTCTGTGTGCTTGCAAACGTCTATGCCCAACGGGCAAGTTATTATTCTATTTGTAGATTTTTAGATTGGTTTAATATTCTTGATTTTGATTTGTTTGCTTTGCAATCTTCCGTCTTACACACACACACACAGGGTTTATGTGAGCAAACAGTTAAAGTTCTCCAGTTGATGACACGTGAAGGAATCGCACCAAACCTTATTATGCTGAATGTTATGCAATCATGGTTCTTCAACGTAGACATTAGTTGTTTTTAAGCCTTCTTGGGACTTCTGGATTTCTTCAACCCCTCATCAGGTACTGTATGCAAAAATGGCTTCTTTTGGTCCTGTTTTGGGTGTTTGTTTCACTTGAATTAGGGATATTTTCAGCGATGATGATTGATGATGAGGAGGGCATTTACGTCTTTTGTGCAGACAAGAGATGGATAACGAACGATTCCTTTTTGGGTGGAAGGGACGATAAGGATAGGTATTAAGATGGTTATAACAGCTAACTGACCTTCCAAATTCAAACGAGAAGAAAGGAGGTTAAGTCTATGCATAAAATTTCATAGCCAACAAATCGTTTGACTTTTGACTTACGCATGTTTCTATACATACATACATACATACATGATAAATCATATATAAGATAATAGGATGAGCAATATCTGTAGAGAGAATCACTATGATGAGTTAAGGTAGGTGGTGTTTTTTTTTTGTCTGCAAAATGACATTGAGTCGAGGGAATTGGATGAGTGTGATGAACATCTCGATAATTTACTACTTCAAGATGGAACAGATGAGAAACGTGATGCAACAAAGGGTCCTAAGGTTACATTTTTAACTTTGATCGATGTTTTCTTTGAAAAATGTTTTTTAATTGCGGTTTTTATCTATGTTTTATGAACAGGTGTGGAAACAAATCTGATGTAGATGTGTTTTTGTGAACGCAGTTGCCTATCACAATTTGAAAGAGATGGTGACGATTTATAGCAGCCTGACAATGGGAAGAAAGATTACAAGTTTGGGTTTAGGTTCATTGTACATTCCTATAATTATATATTAAAAATGAATTTTAACTTTTTCTTTATGGATACGAGGTGGGTAGGATGTAGGATGCCTCGCAGCAAGAAAAATGCATTTCAGATGCTTAATTATTTGTTGATTTCTGTGGATGATGATACTTCATGGGCTTTAATACTGGCTGCACTCTCTGATCTGCTGACCTTCCCACTTCCTTTGTATTTTCTTTAACTGATCTTTGTTTTTTTTTTGTTTTTTTTTTTTAATTATGGAGTGGTTATTTAAAACACTTAACGATGCTGAATATATAATTGTAGGGACAATAATTCTTTCATCATATTTTCGTTTTGATTTATTCTGCAAAACAAATGGTTTTTTTTCTGGAAATTTTTATAAGTTTGCTCTTAAATATGTCAAAAGTTGGATAACATCTTAAAACACGTTTTTTTTTTGTTTGAAATTCTTGTACGTATTGTAGGTATTGTAGAGGTGTCAAAAGTTTGAAATTCTTGTAGGTATTTTTCAGAAGGATCATCTTGCTAACAAATCAAGGATGAGATTTCTCTCTTTCGTGACATGATTTTTTGCTTCTCAACATAAAGCATCTTTGAAAAAAATATAATTATTATAGCATTGTACTTTTTAACTTTCTTTTTCAAGATGTTATATAAAATTTTCAAGAGCATTTAGGCAAACCTGATCCAACCCGGCGCCAACGGCGCAGCTAATTTCTACTAGTTCACATAAATACACAAAATAAAAAGTTATATATATATATATATATATATATATATATATATATATATATATATATATATGTTCCGCTTCCGGTGAGGATTCAAAAAATGGTGAGGACTGTAAGGACAATTCTACACAATCCATTTCGTTAAGGCATAAATGTCAAATCCAATACTTAGCTATGGTGTGTTCACATGCGACTCACGTCCGTGGTAATTAATACGGACTGATGATTTAATAACGTGCGACGAACGTTCATGGAACGTCATTTAAGTGGGTTTTAGTATTTATTTTCGTTTTGTTTTGTTTTTTTTTATTTTTTTTATTAAAAAAAAATTAAAAATTAAACAGATATATACTCGGTCTTAACGTTTTTTTTTTGTTTTTTTAAATTATTTTTTTTTGTTTTTTCCGTTTTTCTTTAATTTTTTCAATATCTTTACTAAATACTAAAAGATACTAGTGTTTTTGTTTATTTTTTTTATTTTTAATTTATTTTTTGATTTTTTAAACTAGATATCGATTTGAGTTTAATGTTTAACAATTATAAAATTTTAAATAAAAAAATACTAAGGATCATAATATTTTTCGTTCATACTTTCTTTCAATCATATTATTTTTGGATTATAAAATTTTGAATCAAATTATTTTTAATCATAGTATTTTAAATCAAATCATTTTTGAATCATATGATTTTGGATCAATAATATATTTAGTTAAATAAAGTTTTTGATCAAAAAAATTTTGGATCGTTATATATTTTGAATCATAAAAGATATAATTAAGCATTATAAAATATTTGAGTCTAAATATTTTTAGATCATAACAAGTTAAGGATAATAAATGATTTTTTGAAAAGTTTTTCATAATTAAGAGGTACAAATTATAAAAAATCAAATATGAAACTTCTATGATACAAAAGAACTAATCATCATTATTATTCAAATCCTAAAATAAATAAGAGAGAAAGACAAATTTAGTCTAATAAAATATAATTACATATGATTAAATACAATACAACAACTATTGAATTGAGAATGAGAAAATGAACTTGTCCATCTAAATCATATGTGATTAATATATATACAATCACATGTGATTACATGTATCTAATGACATATGATTTATATGGACAATTTATTTTTGCGTTTTCGAATCAATAGTTGTTCTCTTGTATTTAATCACATGGGATTTGATGTATCTACTCACATATAATTTATATGCACAAGTTTCGTTTTCGCCTTCTCTATTAAATATATGGTCTCTTGTATTTTAATCACATGTGGTTATATGTATTTAATCACATGTGATTATACATATTTAATCACATATGATTTATGTGCACAATATTTGTTTCTGCATTCTCGATTCAATAGTTGTTCTTTGTCCACATTAATTATATATGATTAAACACATATAATCGTATGTGATTAAATACATGAGAAAAATTATTGATTCACATGTGATTATATATATATAATCACATGAGATTATATGTATAATCCTCCCCAATATAATCGTATGTGATTAATTATATATGATTAAACACCTACCGTACTCCTCCCCAATACGGCACCCAGACTCTCCCATGAAGGGTCAACAATCCTCGACTGTCATAATCGAAAGAAGCTACCTGGCCCACAATCCTCTCACACTTCTGCCTCTCCTCTTTCAGGCCCTCGACCTGTGCCTCTCTAATCTGCTCCAACAATGGAGTAATCACTGTCATCCTCAAACAAACATCCCTGATCGGGGCTGCTATCGCCTTGCGGCTCAGGGCGTCGGCCACTACGTTGGCCTTACCCGGATGATAAAGGATCTCACAATCATAGTCCTTTACCACATCTAACCATCGACGCTGCCTCATGTTTAGATTCGGCTGGTCCATGAGGTACCTCAGACTCTTGTGATCCGTGTAAATGGTACAGCAGACCCCATAGAGGTAATGTCTCCAAATCTTGAAGGCAAACACCACTGCCCCCAGCTCTAAATCGTGCGTCGGATAGTTAGCCTCGTGATGCTTCAACTGTCTAGAGGCATAAGCTATCACATGCCCTCGCTGCATCAACACTGCTCCCATCTCTGTGATCGAAGCATCACAATAGACTACAAAGTCATCCACTCCCTCTGGCAGGGTAAGAATCGGCGCCTCACACAAACGCTGTCTGAGGGTCTCAAATGCTGCCTGCTGCTCAGGCCCCCAGCGAAACACCACCGACTTCCTAGTCAGTCGGGTGAGTGGAACTGTTATCTTGGAGAAGTCCTGGATGAATCTCCTATAGTACCCTGCCAAACCTAGGAAGCTCCGAATCTCAGATGGAGACCTCGGGACCTCCCACTGCATAACGACCTCTATCTTGGCCGGATCTACTAGTATACCCTTCTGGTTGACGAGGTGTCCAAGGAACTGCACCTCGCGCAACCAGAACTCGCACTTGGAGAACTTCGCAAAAAGTCTCTCCCTCCTCAAAGTCTCTAGCACCTCCCTTAGGTGCTCCTCATGCCGCTCCTGAGTCTTGGAATAAACCAAGATGTCGTCGATGAACACTATCACATACCGATCCAACATTGGCCTGCATACGCGGTTCATGAGATCCATGAACGCGGCCGGAGCGTTGGTGAGCCCAAACGGCATCACCACAAACTCATAATGACCATAGCGGGTCCTAAAAGCGGTCTTGTGCACATCTTCACCTCTGACCCGCATCTGATGATACCCGGAGCGCAAATCAATCTTGGAGAACCAAGATGCTCCCTGAAGCTGATCAAACAAGTCATCTATCCTCGGGAGTGGGTAATGGTTCTTCACCGTTACCTTCTTCAGCTCCCGGTAATCTATACACATACGGTGCGACCCATCCTTCTTCCTTACGAACAGGATCGGGGCTCCCCATGGTGAACTACTTGGTCTGATGAAACCCTTGTCTAGCAGCTCCTGCAGCTGCGTAGACAACTCCTGCATCTCTGGAGGAGCCAACCGATATGGAGCCTTGGCTATCGGAGCCGCACTCAGAACCAGGTCAATCCGAAACTCAACCTGTCTCTCCGGAGGTATCCCAGGCAGATCCTCTGGAAATACATCCGGGTACTCACGTACCACCGGTACATCGTCAACAGTCGCCTTGCCCTTCTCCTGGGCATCTAAAACATAGGCGACGTACCCTGCGCAACCCTGCTGGAAGTAGCGCCTCGCTCTCGCTGCTGAACAAAGAATCGGTCCGTGCTGTGGCTTTTCACCCTGAATCACTAACTCTCCCCCACTAGGAGTGCGAACCCTCACTAACTGCAGCTCGCAATCAATCACTGCCCCATTGGGGCTCAGCCAATCCATACCCACTATAAACTTGTTCCCTCGCAGGGGAATAGGAACCAGGTCTACCGAAAACTGCTCATCGAACAACCGAAGCGAACACCCCTTATGTACTCTCGCGACCCTGACAGTCCTGTCATCAGCTATCTCAACCTCAAGTGGATAATCCAGCTCCCCCGGAGCTCTGCTAAACCTCTTGCTAAGCGCAAGTGAAACAAATGATCGGGTAGCCCCCGAATCAAACAATACTGTAGCTAAAATGTCGTTCACTAAGAACGACCCTATACGAAAACATATAATCATGAGAAACAAACAATATCAAAATAGAAATAGGAGAAAGATACATACCCGTCACCACGTCAGGAGTCGCTCGCGCCTCCTCTACTGTCATCTGAAAAGCTCTACTCTTCGCCACTGGCGTCTCGCTCCGGCCCTGACGGTCGTCTGTAATCCTCAATGTTGCAGGGGCAGGTGCTACCACCTTCCCTGCTGCTGCTGACAAACTCGGACACTGATACTTTTTATGTCCCCTCTGATTGCAATGGAAGCAAATCAGATCAGATGCTGCGGTAACGGTGGGAGTAGTTGTACAATCTCTGCTCATATGCCCGATCCGGCCGCACTTGTAGCAACCGGGACTCCCTGCCTTGCACGCCCTATCGTGCAATCTCCCACACTTGCCACACCGACTGTGGCTCTGCTGTCCTCTAGATTTGTGATCTGATACCTTGGGCTTTTTGCCCGAACTCCCTGTGCCAGATTCCGCCTCTGGCTTCCTCTTCTTCTCCATCTCTAAATCAATCTCCCTCTCACGAGCTCTAGCAATCATGTCATCCAACGTTTTATAGCTGGATCGACTCACAAACTGGCGGATATCGCTCCGTAACATCTCATGATAACGGGCCTTCTTCATTTCCTCATCAGCTGCGTACTGAGGAACGAGAAGAGCCCTCTCCCTGAACTTGGCGGTAATCTCCGCCACTGTCTCCGTAGTCTGGGTGAGATCCTGAAACTCCCTGGCTAACTGCTGCACCTCGATAACCGGTGCAAACTAGGCTCTGAACCTGGTAGTAAAATCAGCCCAAGTCATCGCATCAAGTGCTGAGTCATCCCCGACGACATGCCCGATCTCCTCCCACCAATCTCGTGCCCTGTCCTTCAGAAGACAGGATGCTAATCTGACCTTGTCCCCA